TGAACTTTGCCTCTGAAAATCGCTCAAACCGAGCTTGGAAGTCCAAAAATGGAAGAAAACTCGGACTGCTCCGCTATACACTGTCCAGAATTTTTGCGGTACTGTTCACGCATTTACTGTTCACAGTACTGTTTCACCATTACTGTTCACAGTACTATTAACGAGAACTATTCATAGTACTGTTCACAGTGCTGTAAAAAAATGCAACAGCTTTTCTTCAAGTCTAAATCGATCCGTTAACCTTTCGAAATCCACCCGAGGCCCTCGGGACCTCAACAAAATGCATCAACCAGTGATTTGCATGATTGTCGTGGACGACAGAGAGTAGCATGGATTTTCACACAGGTTGATCCTTGATTAGCTCACGCTATGTGGTGTAAGTGGGGAGGATCCATCACTTGAAGCATCATCATCTTCCTTCACAACAGAGTGCTTGGATCCGGAGAGGTCAAGTAGAGCAAGATTTTTCTTGATCTTTTCAGCAACATCGCTTCCTGTTTGAGGTGCGTTTGTGGAAGATCTTGCTCCTTTTGAGAATGAAGATCCGAAAACAGGGTTTGATGCGGACGACAATTGGGGTGCTTGTTGTCCTAAAGAGCTTGCTTTGCTCCTTATAGCTGGTCCGAAGATTCCAAAGGTAACATCGGGGATGCTTTCCATATCAGTATAGAACCTGGAGTTAGCAGCCTTGGTAAATGTTGATCTGGAGTTGATTTTCTTCGAAGCCATTTCAATGTTCTTGAACTTTGGTGATTGAAAAGTTGAGATGAGAGGTAGAGATTGTCCCACTGGGCGTGCCAGAATTTGTAGACAATAAATTGCGTCGAGAAAATAAAATCAAGCCGAAAAATATTACAACAATTGTAGTATTTTATTTCAAATATTTGAGTGTTACAATATCTATGATTCCTCTGATTCTACTTTTCTAGTATAAATTCAAGGGCATTCGAGCTTGATCTTGAATTTGAATTTGATTTATCCGTCGTGAATACTTTGATTGTTGCCACTAATTTATCACGAACAAGTAGCCTTGATCTTGAACGCCTTGTATTTGATTTGACTTCGTTCTTGATCTTGAATACTTGAATTGTTCTTCGTTCTTGAGCTTGAACTTGATTTGTTCTTCGTTCTTGAACTTGAACTTGGTTGCTTGAAGCTTGAAACTTGTAGAGAAATTTGCGGCGTTTGATCCACGAGCTCTCTCTTGCTTCTTGGTATAACTTCTGGTGTCTTTTCTAGGTTATGAAGACCCCTATTTATAGTTGTACAAGGGAGGAGTCATGATAAGAACAAACTCTTTCCGACCAATCAAATTGAAGTGTGATAGGGCCGCATTTGATTATCCAGAACATGTCACTTGTACACGTGGCGCGATTTCATTGGCCTTTTAGTGTGACTTGGCATGCCTTGTCATTTGACACGTGATATGATCCTATTGGCTCTTCCTTTTGACTTGGCGCGCCACGTCATTTGACACGTGACATGATCCTATTGGCTCTTCCGTTTGACTTGGCGTGCCACATCATTTGACACGTGGCACCAAACTGGGCCTCTAGGAAGATGACATCTTGGGCTTAATGAAGTGTGCTCATCACTTTAGCCCAATTAAATGGGCTAACTCAATGGATTACGACTTATTTATTTAACCCATATATATTGGACTTATATAATTAATTCAAGGGATTTTTTCATTCCTATACACTATTGGAAACTTTATTACCCTAAATGTTCATGTTTAGTAAATTGCCCTACCTACACAAGTTTTGTTTACAAAATATATACATTCCACATTAAAAGGCTCCCAATCCATTATTAATGCCTTCAATTAAGGGATTTAATTACACTCTTTTCCCCTTTTTTTTTCTCCACTTCTCTTTCCATATTTTTCCTCCGCCTTAAAATACAGTAATCTTCCTATACGACAAAGTTATATACATTATCATCTGTTTAACTTTTGGTCTATTAGCCAAAAGCCTTATTTTTCCTATACGAAAATTTAGTCAAAAATATTTACACAAAAGAGAAACAGAAGCCCATCAAGAAATTAAAGTCAAAGTGCAGATGATAGAAGTCAATATTATACAAAACAGAGCATCTCATCAGAGACCAAAATAAACTTCCAAGATTCATACATAAAGATGGTCATTAAATCATTTATAACTATCAACGATTTGCGTAAAAAGAAGAACCCATGAAAGAGACATTCTTAGAATCGCACAGAAAAAAGGAGGAGAAAACAAGGGAATCAAAAACAAATTACATACATTAGAAACGCAGAAATACAAAAAGAAAAGACAAAATTAAGAAATTATTGATAGCGAAAACGACCAGGAATCGAATCAAAGTTACACATGCAATCACAATTACATGATCTTAAATGGGCATAGTATAATCTTAAATGCATATTTTATACAAAATGTATACAATATGTCTTTTGTATATTATATATCTGATTTATACATAGTAAAAACAAATTTCATACAACTAATTATATATTATACAATTTATCAAAACTTATCTACAACTTTCACACATTATTTCTACCCAGTTAAATACAACTATAATAACATACAACTTAAATACAAATTTTATACAATATGTCTTTTGTATATTTTGTATCTGATTTATACATAGTAAAAACAAATTTCATACAACTAATTATATATTATACAACTTATCTACAATTTTCATACATTATTTCTACTCAGTTATATACAACTACAATATCATACAACTTAAATATAATTTTTATACAATGTTGTTCAACTTTCATACAATAGTTAAATAAATAAAAGAAAATATATAAACAACAGAATATAATTTTTCTACAATTTTACTACAATTTCTGCAGTATAATGTATGTCATGTCTTCTTCTTCTTCTTCTTCTTCTTCTTCTTCTTCTTCTTCTTCTTCTTCTTCCAATCTGAAATTCAGCCAAAATCAAGTTTAATCTTCACCAAAACCCCTCAAAATTGAGATATAAACTCCAAATCATATTCACAATTATTTGCAACAACACCCAATCCAAACAAATAATGATTTTTGAAAACCCAAATTCGAATTCAAAGCTTCAAAGCTTTTTAATGGCTGTCAATAGTGGAATTGCTGCTCTCTTTTCCTCTGCTTTACATTACTGAAATTCGGGATTGAGAGATAGAGAGAGACGTAGAGAGAATTCTCAATTCTTTGCAAGAACATCCAATCCAAACAAACAATGTTTTTTTGAAAACCCAAATTCGAATTCAAAGTTTTTTAATAGTTGTCAATGGTGGAATTGATGCTCTCTTGTGCAAGATAGGGGGGGGGGAGAGAAATGTGGGAAGTGAAAGATATGTTAGAGTAATTTTAGGACACTAATTATTATCATTAATTCCCTTAAAATATACATAAATGGTAATTGGGTATATAAAATATAATTATAGTAAAACTTGAGTAGAAAGGGTAATATAGTTTCATATAGTGTATAGAAATGTAAAAATTCCTTAATTCAATTATATTAGCCTATTAAGTTTATTTGAACTAATATATCTTGAATTTAAAATATAGTCCAAATTATTTTATGGATTTAATTCCAATAAAATTTGTATGCCGACAAGCTTATCAACACTTTTTAGTCAAACACATCAACTGTTTATTATCAATTTCAACACTTCTACCAAACACGTAAATGCTTATTTTAAAAATCAGTTTCACCACTTCAAGTTTATCAGTTATTTACATTCAGCTAATTCAAACGGGCTCATACTTTTTCTCCTTCCTGAATATTGTATAATAATCCTTCTCTCTCAATTTATGTAGCTTGATTCATTTTGCCCATGAAATTAACCAAACAGATTTTTCAAGTTTTTTAAAATAAAATTTACATAATTGGAAACTAAGACGAAGTACTATAAAAAGTCATAATAGTTACACTATTGTAAAACACTTATAAATATTAAAATGAACATAGTAGACCTAGACTACCCCAAATAGGAATGGAGTAACAACGAAGGCCCATATGTTCTTCCTCGGATATAGTTCATCACATGTCATTAGAAATTTAGTAGATATTGAAAGTAAAGTGGTGAAAGGGTGCACTGTTGAAGCTATTGATTGTGCATTTGTGCCAACACAACACACATTAGAAGAAAATAACATAAGAGGCAGAAATGTGGATAAACTGTAGCTATTCCAGTTGTTATAGAAGTAGCAGTCATCAATCCAAATTCTTTGTGGAAATTGAATACAATTGTTAAATGTTTATGAATTCATTTCTTGAAATTTATGGAAGTGCAGCAAAATTTACTGTTTCTTATTTCTCTGACTGTGGCTATGGGGTAAAACCTAAAATCATTAACAGTAAAATCAATATTAAAAGTTAAATGTTGGATGCCTCCTCCTCCTCTTCCCTGGACAATGCTCCAGTCTCAGCAGGTTGTCCCGTAAACGGAGTGATGCATATTCAATATAGAGTCCAGTTCAGGAGCTTTCAGCAATTGTATATGACACTCTCTCAATTCATTTTCCTTTTCGGTTACATTCTCTTCGAAACTAATTCAACTGTTAAAATTTTCTATATTTTGTTCCATCATCAAATTCTTAATTTGCTCTACCTTCTAGGCTGCTCCAGTTTAACTTTTCTATAAAAAATGCTTGTTTTTCAGAAGAACGGCCAGCGGAAGCAGCAGAACCGATAGCCGAGAATTTTCCGGTGGATTCTCCGACCAAGTAAAACCTGCGGTGAATCTCTCTCTCTCTCTTCTCTCTGGTGTGTGTGTGTGTGTGTGAGACCACACACTTGAGCTAATCTTGCAATGTTTCCACACTATATGGCCCACGAAGATGATAAAACTCTTGACAGGTATGTTCATTAGTTCGTCAATGCAAACGACTTTGAATGGTTCTCGAGAAGAATTTCTCTATATTTCCACAAATTTAAAGCTTGACCAATTGGAATGCAATTTCCTTTTTCCTTCTATGGATTTAGTGAAACATTGACTCATTGACTTGAAGTCGTTCTACCCGTATTTCACAAGCTGAGAAAATAAATACCCATTGACTCGCAAGACTTTTAATGATTCACTACACTATAAAACTCTACTTCTGCACAAGTTCATCAATAACCAAAACAATCAACTGAGATTAACCATAATGAAGATTCCCAGAATATTTTCTTTCCTTCAGTTTTTTACTCTCTTATATCTCTTCACAGTTACTTTTGCTTCCACTGAGGAAGCAACTGCTCTACTCAAATGGAAAGCAACTTTCCAAAACCAGAATAATACCTTATTGGCTTCATGGAAACTAGGTCCTGTTGGTTCCAAGAGTTCTTCCAGCATTGGAGCGACAGGTTCTGATGCATGCAGGGGCTGGTATGGAGTTACATGCCTAAATGGTAGGGTCAACAGGTTGAATATTACAAATGCTAGTGTTGTTGGCACACTCTTATGATTTTCCATTTTCATCTCTCCCTTTTCTTGAATATGTTGATCTTAGCATGAACCAGCTCTCTGGCACAATCCCCCCTGAAATAGGTAAACTCACTAATCTAGTTTATCTTGACTTGTCCATCAATCAGATTTCGGGCACAATCCCTCCACAAATCGGCTCACTAAGAAAGCTTGATACCCTTCATATCTTTGACAACCAGTTAAATGGTTCCATTCCAGAAGAAATAGGTCACCTAAGGTCTCTTTCGGAACTAGCTTTGAATACTAACTCTCTTAATGGTTCAATTCCTGCTTCATTGGGGAATTTGAACAACCTGTCTTCTTTGTATCTTTATGAGAATAAGCTTTCTGGCTCCATTCCAGCAGCAATAGGGAAACTCGTTAATCTTGTTGAAGCTTTCTCGATACAAACCAGTTAACAGGTCATATTCCTCCAGAAATAGGTAACTTGATCAAAGCAAAAGTGTTCAATGCTTTCTCTAATGAATTGTCTGGTCCCATTCCTGTTGAAATTGGAAAGATGAAGTCACTTCATAGTTTAAGCTTCCACACAAACAATCTTTCTGGTCCAATTCCCAAAACAATAGGTGACTTAACTGAGCTCCAACTCTTGCACCTTTACAATAACCAACTTTTTGGTTCCATTCCTAGTAAGTTGGGGAATTTGAAAAACCTCACTGATCTGCAATTATCCGGTAATCAACTTACTGGGTCAATTCCAGCTTCCTTGGGCAATCTGAGAAATTTACAAACTCTGTATCTCCGGGACAATAAACTTTCAGGTTCCATTCCACCAGAACTTGCCTATTTGGATAACTTGGTTGTGCTGGAAATGGATGAAAACCAATTTTCAGGCCATTTGCCTGAGAATCTTTGCCAAGGCGGGAAACTTGAGAACTTCACGGTGAATAGTAACAAGCTGTCAGGGCCAATTCCAAGAAACTTGAGCAAGTGCTCGAGTTTCAAAAGGGTTCTCTTTGATAACAACAGTTTCACCGGGAACTTATCTGAAGCTTTTGGTATCTATCCAGAGCTTCAATTTATTAATTTGAGTGAAAATGATTTTCATGGTGAACTCAGCAGCAACTGGGGAAAATGCGAGAATTTGACTGATCTGCGGATAGCCAGAAATAACATTAGTGGCAACATACCGCCAGAGATTGGAAACCTAAGAGGGCTACTAGGACTTGATCTTTCATCAAATCATTTGGTTGGGCAGATTCCCAAGGAATTTAGAAAATTGACCTCTCTAGTTAATCTTTTTGTGCAAAACAACAAAATTTCTGGCAGTATACCTGGGGAACTTGGGTCACTAACAAAGTTAGAAACCCTTGATTTGTCAGACAATGTATTTAATGGGTCAATCCCGATGTTTATAGGAGATTACAGGAAGCTGATTCACTTGAACCTGAGCAACAACAGATTTGGCCAGAAAATTCCGATGGAGATAGGAAGGATAACTCACCTTAATGTGCTTGATTTGAGTCATAATCTTCTTGATGGAGAAATACCCCCTCAGTTAGCCCATTTGCAGGACTTGGAAATCATCAATCTTTCCCACAATCACCTCTCTGGCCGCATTCCTAAAGAATTTAAAAGTTTGACAGGTTATGTCATATTGTCATACAATGAGCTGGAAGGTCCAATACCGAATAATGAAGCTTTTATGAATGCATCATTAGAAGGTAATAGAGGTCTTTGTGGCAATGTAACAGGATTCCAGCCTTGCGAAAGGCCATCTTCTATGGTGAAGAAGCACTCAAGACGTAAAGTCATTCTTGTCACTGTACTTCCAATTATGGGAGCACTAGTACTTCTCTGTGCTTTCATTGGCGTTCTGCTTATGTGTAATGAAATAAGAAGAGTTGGAGACATCGAAAGACGGGATTCCAGTGATGGTGTTGATGCTGATGAAGATAATGGTTTGCTCTCGATATCCACGTTACATGGAAGTGCATTGTACTGGGATATATTAAAAGCCACAAAAGAGTTTGATGCAGTGTTTTGCATCGGAAAAGGAGGGTCCGGAAGCGTTTACAAGGTACAGCTTCCATCATTTGAGAATGTAGCTGTAAAGAGACTTCATTCTTCATTTGAGAATACACACCTCAAAAGCTTCATGAATGAGGTAAGGGCATTGACAAGGATTAAACATCGGAACATTGTGAAACTCTATGGCTTTTGTTCGAATGCAAAACACTCGTTCTTAGTTTACGAGTACGTGGAGAGAGGGAGTTTGTTTAGTATCTTGAGCAATGAAATAGAGTCCAAGAAATTGGATTGGCTTAAGAGGGTGAATATCATCAAAGGTGTTGCTTTTGCTTTATCTTACCTGCACCAGGATTGCTCGCCACCAATTGTCCATCGAGACATATCAAGCAATAATATTTTGCTTGATTCTGAGTATGAAGCTCGTGTTTCTTGTGCCAATAAGTAATAAACGAGTTTCACGTTTGCTAAGTAGTAAGTACTGGTGTTAGTTGTATTACTTTGCATAGTTCTGGTAGCTCGTGAAAAATCTTTAACGGCATAATGCTTCTAACATTTGTTTAAACTATTGGGCACTTTATTGGAGATGCCACGTAAAAAGAATCAACATAATCTAACCTTTTCCTCACCTTTCTTTTCTTTTCACATTCAAACTCTTTTTTCCTTTAGCAAATTAGCACTTACTTTTCGATAAGAACAAAATTTTGATTGTGGTTCTTATTTAACTGGTTAAGCAAATTAAATTTCAAGTAACTGAAACATGCATCTTGTCCCTCCACGTGTAAATTCCTGAAAATTATCAACTGATTCACCATGTGACTATCTATGTTTATTATACACATTTATACATTTACATTTACACATTTTAAGGTTGTGTACTTCTATAAATAACGTGAAACCAATACAATTCCTGTATAAGAGATTAAAGAAATACACATTTTAATTTTAAGTAATTAAATATTAGATGCGCTCATATACACACATATAATCAACACTTACGTAATTGTTCCATCTTCGGGGTAATTATCACATATGTTCATATAACTATGACTTTTTTCCATCAAAGTCATATTACTTTGTTTTTCTCACACAAAAATCATAAAACTTTCACTAACTCACACAAAAATCATAGTAACCGAAATGTAATTTTCCGGTAGTATTTTCTTATCTTTAACTTCAAGTTGCAGCGCTTTATGTTGTTTTCTGACTGTTCTAGAATTTCTGCAGGAGCAAAAGTTTTGATGACTTAAGAAAAAGAATAACAGCTTCAAGCCAAGTGATAGAATTTCAATTGTTGAGGCTAAATCTGTCCTACAATTGTTTTTTCCAGTGAATTAGTGCTCAAAACATTGGCAAATAATCAAAACCAGTGTAAGCGAAAATTGTTCCACACGAAAAAAGTCTGCTCAAATTTTGTGTGTCTGTGTTGGGGGAGTTAAAACTCCTTTTCTTTTCTTTTTTCTTTTTTTCATAAAAATAACGATTCATTTTCTGTTAATCATCCTTAAATGGACTGAGTTTGCAATTAGAGATTATATCCATTAACATATCTCCATCATCTATGCCTAATTTCATGGATGAATAAGTGATAACTTCCAAAATTATCCTTAACATAACTTCTGTTGCTCAGACTCTTCGAAAATGTATCTNGGGGGTTAAAACTCCCTTTCTTTTCTTTTTTCTTTTTTCTTTTTTCAAAAAAATAACGATTTATTTTCTGTTAATCATCCTTAAATGGACTGAGTTCGCAATTAGAGATTATATCCATTAACATATCTCCATCATCTATGCCTAATTTCATGGATGAATAAGTGATAACCTCTGTTGCTCAGACTCTCCGAAAATGTATCTTCCAAAATTAGTATATTTTTGGAGGATCCGACAAGGGTGCATCAACATTTTGGCGAGTCCATACAACATAGGTGATAACGGATTTACATGGAATAAAAGAAGAGATGATAATAGAAGAGAATTAATCCATGGTCATGTTGTCTTTAATGCTGCTAACCAGGGGCGGCTCTAAAAGCTTGGGCACTGAGGTCGTCGCCTTAGGCCCCCAAAATTTGAAGGCCCCAAATTTATTTTAAATTTTTATAATTATTATTACTATATATTTATATAAATAATTTAGTATACAGAAAAGTGTTACAGTATATTCCTTTTGTTATTTGGTTGAGGTTAATTTATATCAATAAATTCATAAATTATGATAATTTTCTTTACTGATTAATTAGTATATTTGTTTCAGTCTTCAATTTTAATTTTATCCTTTTTATATAGGAATTTAGTTATATATCTCGACAACATAATGATTTTCTTTTACAATTGTGATGACCCAAAATGTCATCTTTAAATTAAATAATTATCTCGGTATTTTTAAGACTAAAGCGGTATCAATCTTGCCTGCGCAGTCCGTATAATTTTCCGAAAGGTTTTTATGTGAAAAATGGATTAAATTGTGAACTAGAGCTTTAAAACTCAACTGAGTTGACTTCGGTCAACATTTTGAGTAAACGAACCCGGATAAAAGTTTTGACCATTCCGGTAGTTCCGTATCGTGATTTGGGACTTGATCATATGCCCGAAATCGAATTTGGAGGTCCCTAGATTAAATTATCGCCATTTAACGGAATCTAGAAATCTAAGGTTAAAGATTTCTTAGGTTTGACCGGAGTGTTGACTTTTTGATATCGGGGTCGGAATCTAGTTCTAAAAATTTTCATAGCTTTGTTATGTCATTTATGACTTGTGTGCAAAATTTGAAGTCAATCGGACTTGATTTGATAGGTTTTTGCATCGAATATAGAAGTTGGACGTTCTTAGTTTCATTAGGCTTGAATGGGGGTGTGACTCACGGTTTTAGCATTATTTGATGCGATTTGAGATTTTGACTTAGTCTGTATTATGTTTTAGGACTTGTTGGTGTATTTTGTTGAGGTTCCGAGGGCCTGGGTGGATTTCGGAAGGTTAACGAATATAAAAAGGCTGCTGAATTTTCTTTTACAGCATGTGTACAGTACCCCGTGAACAGTACCCCATGAACAATACCGTGTACAGTACCCCATGAACATTACCTCGTGAACAGTGTGAACAGTACCCGGACAGAATGTTAAGTTCTGGAAAATGGGACGAATCCCATTTTCCATTTTTACCAAATTGGAGCTCGGGGAGAGGCAATTTTCGGGAGATTTTCAGAGAAAACAACGGGGTAAGTGTTCTTAACTTAATTTTGGTTAGCTTTATATGTGCACAGACAAGTGCACATATAAATCTATTACTAGTTTTGGCATTTAATTGGTAATTTTAGTTGGGAAATCTTGAAAACCCTCTTGGTTTAGTTTGAAGATTTGAGGGTCGAGTTGATGTCGAATTTTAGTAAAATTGGTATGGTTGGACGAGGTTTCATATTCCTTAAATTTTGTCGGGTTCCGAGACGTGGGCCCTACGGGCGAATTTTTAGTGCAATTTCGGATTTTTAATGAAAAATGTAAAATTTCATATATAATTAATTCCTATAATTTTTATTGACTGAATCGAATTGTTTATGACTAGATTTGAGAATTTCGGGCACGAATTCGCGAGGCAAAGGCTTGTTGGAATTTTGATTTGGTTGCAAAGCGAGGTAAGTGTTTGGTCTAACCTTAGCTTGAGGGAATATGAGTTGTGTCTTATTTGTTATGAACAATTTGTTGAGTACGACGTATAGGCATGGTGACGAGTATCTATACGTTGGTGTCAATCATGCCCGTGAGTCTTATACTTTGATTAATGTGACTCCATTTCGTATTGTATATGCTCTATATGATAATTTCTATTGAGGAATATGACTTGCGGAAGTATTATTGTTAATTGAACATGGTAGAGCGTTGGCTCAAGTTGAGAATTGAATTGTTGAACATTGTAGAGCACTGACTCTAGTTAAGAATAGAATTGTTGAACATTATAGAGTATTGGCTCAAGTGAGAATTGAATTGTTGAACATTATAGAGTATTGGCTCAAGTGAGAATTGAATTGTTGAACATTATAGAGCATTGACTCAAGTGAGAATTGAATTGTTGAACATTGTAGAGCATTGGCTCAAGTTGTGAAGTGAGTTGTGAAGTAAAAGTGAGAAAAAGAAGAGAATCATCATATCATCTCCCTTGCCGGGATATTGTTGCTTTTGATGTTATCTCCCTTGCCGGGATGTTGATGTTATTGTTTTGATATTGTTTCCCTTGCCGGAATTTGATTGTTGTACTATTGTTCCCTTGCCGGGATTTTATTGTGATATTTTTTGATTTTCCCTTGCCCAAATTGCTTTGTGATTGTTGTTTGGGTGAGGAAGAGTGATAAAGCACGAAGGGTGATGTCGTGCGTGCCACACGATATACAATTCCCTTGTCTCAGAACAGTGATGTATTTACGTTGTATGACTACTCCTAGAAAGGCTTATGACTTGTACTACCGGTTTTGGGAATTGTAAATTTATTAGAGAAATTTCATTTGAAGTTAATAAATATCAGTGTTATTTCAGTTAATGTTAGACTTACTTAGTTTAGAGACTAGGTGCCATCACGACTCCTTCGGAGGGATTTTTGGGTCGTGACAACAATGTTCTCTCAAACTGCATGAACACAAAAGCATTCATGTATCTGTTTTTAAGTATAATTCGACATATTATATTAGGTTATTTATAATTTATTTTAGATATTCACCAATAAGTGCTACTTAATAGAATGAATTACAATTATCGTTTAAATTGATCATAAGGAATAAATATATTTGACACCATTAATGCTCAAAACTTAAGCTATTTCGTTATTTATGTCTATTTCTTTTTCTTGTTTGTGATGATAGTAAAATCAAAATTTGTAGACCTCAACATCCGATAGTCCACCACTTTATTTTTTGTTCTCTTCTTCCTTTTTTGTTTTGAAATTTGCTTATTTTTGTCTTAAATGATTAGTTTATTGTTTAGAAAGTAATTTTGTTAAGTGTTTACATCATAAAAGACATGTTCTAAAAGTAAGTTTATGGCCCAATATAAGCTTATATTTGGGCTTAAGCCCAAGTGTTACTGGAATGCATGATATACAATTGGGCGATTTGCAGCCGTACCCTATTTTTATGCCACCTTTTAACCTATACCCTATTTTTAAAAATTATTGATTTCGTAACCAACTAACAAAAAATCCGTAATAATATGACCATTATACCCCTTCCAAAACATATAAAAGATGCATCAAGCATACCCAAAATCAAATTCCAGATCTTCTTCATATCTCCTCCATCAGTCCGTCTCTCCTGAGATCGCCTCTCGCAAACCAGATTTGAACCAGATTCAAATTTCAAATTCAAATTACAAAAGACATTGTAAGTATTCAAATTCATCTTCAGAATTCAAAATAGTTTTTGAATTACATGTTTTCTGATTGATTGATTGAAGTTGTTTGACGAACTTCACTGATATGCTGAATTTCTATTCTAAATCTATTTGACGATGAATTCTAACATTCTAATCCGACAAATATGCTGAAACAAGCTGAAGTTATTTAGTTCATATCTAAAAAATTCAGCAAAACGAGCAGGCAAATAATACAACGAAGAAAAAATTATATTAAAACTTTACATGAGTGTTTGAATAT